AATAAATAGCACTTTTATTTATAATGATTATAAATAAAATCAGAAAAGACACACAATCGTGCGCTATGGGGGACACTTTTTCACCACGCGGCACTGAGAAATTGCTCTTCATCAGTTTCACTCGCTAAGGCGGGTGGGGAAAGTCAGGTGGGTGGTGTGTGAAGGGGCGGACGAAAGAAATGAGTGGAAGATAACTTAGTGAATTCCTTCACTTCCATCGCCTTCGAGTGTTGGGGGGTTTCTTGGAGGTGGGAAGGAAAACTTGCCAAGGAATACAATGAATTCAATGAATTCACCTTCAGCCCCAAGAACAGTCCAATAACTGTCGAGAGCATCCTACAGGGCGCACCATACATATAGTGTTATTAGGGAAATGAATGGTACTTGTTTCCAATGGAACGTGGCTTTTCCGCTCTTCGTCTTAGTGGTAGAATGAAGGGTTGGCGGCGCCAGAGGAGGCTAAATAAGTTTTGCCAAAGAACACCCCCATAATTTTCCAATCGCCCACTCGAAATCACGGTAAGTGCACCGAAACTGAGTCTCTAAACACTTGTGGAGTTTTCAAACAATATTTCCACACTCGAGGTGAGTTCCTGTAGCTTTGGGTTTCTCCTTGAATTTCAATTAGATTGACTTCATCGAAATATTAATGCGCCATGGGAGTCTCTCTTTCTCTCTCTCTCTCTGTTGGATGTGCAAACATTTATTTTCGTCCCAAAAGTCATGTGAATATTTCCCCCCTTCGGAGATATTTTATTGAAAAGTTGAGTTAGTCAAGTCACCCAATAAATCCCCTATTATGAACCAAAACACACACTCTTGAGCATCCTAAAGACACGGCAAAATGGATGAGGAGTGAAAAGGTGAAGAGAGAGAGAGAGAGCTTCAAACATACCCGAAATGAATAAAGTTCTTCAATGAAAGTTGGTCTTATTTGTTTAACTTTCTTGAAGATTTCCGGTGTGTTTTGATTGAAATTAAATCCACCCACACCTCTTCTCCCCCTCCGCCCCAATGCCTTTTCATTTTGCGCCTTTTGCAACCATCTCAACACTTCACCCAATATACAATATTTATTTAGTCTATTACCATCACCTCACCGAACGCCTTTCTGCGCTGCGCGCCAAAGAAAAGTCTAATGAAATTCCACCTTGTGAATTCTTTCATGTGCAAATCATCGCAGGGAGGTGAAGGAAATGATACACCCAACATTTCTGCTGAATCGAATGGTAAAATTCACGAATCGCTGTCGTTATTATGCTTTTAATCTCCCACTCACACCCACATTTTTACGCGGATTGTTCATTTTCAGCTCATTTCCACGTTCTCTGGACTCGCGGGTTATTGGGGGAAGTTGGAATGTTTTGGCAAATTTATTGGAAAAGGGACATTCATCCACACAAATTGAGTCTCAAGTCTTTAGAATTACCCGCGTAGGATCAAAGGTTTTAATTAAGTGTTCTGTAATTTGTCTCATTTTCACAGAAGTACAAAGGATTCTTGTGAATGCACATAATAAATGACAAATGGTCAAATGATAGCAAATAAACAATTCAACAGGTATGATAATAGTATTAAACTAAACAATACATAACAATTATTATTTTTAGGACAATTTAACTTTCGGACGCAATGAATAAAATATCATTATTTCCACTATTTATGAATTTCCTATTCACAGCCATTTATATATTTATTTATAAATTGAGTATTACCAATTCAAATTTCATGGATAATAGAGCATTTGTATGCAATGCATGCAAAGTGTGTCCAGAAGAGTGCAAAGGTACATTCTGGCAAATATCCTCACTTCTGCACCCATCCTTTATGACTCCTCAGAGAGGAGTATTCGGCGAATAAGGAAAAACCTAATTCGCCAACCGGGGTGGGAAAGCGAGTGCGAGACGAGATGGCACATTTAGTGGGAAAGTCACGAACCATCTGTATTACAATTTTCGTCCAGTGGCTCAGTGGTCTGGCCCTTTCGGGGCGCAGCGTGTGGAACAAAGGGGGCGATTTATTGCAAAATAATTCCCAATTTATTGCTGAATAAAAGTTTCCTGGGGTGGCAACACTCTTGTCCGGCTCTTCAGCGAAGCACCACCAGAGAAAAAAAGCTATGTATGCTGATGGGTGTGAAATTTGTCGTGTTGCCTTGATGCGGATGTTGATTCTGACACACACTCACGACGATTGATGGGCCTTCAATGAAGAACTGGGTGGCAGATGATATTTACCCATGTGATCCATGTGATGCTTATTGATTTTGGACAGCGACTCACAAGCTCGGCCCCACGAAGAGCCCACATATTCAAATTTACTCAACCCAATTTTCATATTTGATTGTTAGCAAGCACTGTCATTGTGCGTGATTATCATTCATCCCCGTCATCATTCTGCACCCATTCTGACTCTCTCTCTTTCTCTCTCCCCCCCTCTCGAGCCCATTGTCGCAGCACCTCGGGTGAAAAGGACTTGAGCTTTCTGAATGGCAGCTCCAATTGAGACGCTACAGCTCACTCTCATCACCAACTCATTCACCATAGCAAAGCATGAGATATTTGCAACAACAGCGAATTGTGTACGTTTGCATTGAATATCCGTCAAGCTTCTTTGCCACACTTTACTTTTGTCTGCTTGCCTGGGAATATGATATAAATTTCACAGGCACAGATTGGATAGACTATGGAAATTGGCTTGTTTAAACTTATGCATTATCTTAGTTATTTTGCCACTTTTGATGCTTAAAATGGGGTGATTTGAATTTGCAACAAGAATAGAATTGAAATTCCAGGAAGCAGCAACTCTACAACGTCATTCACTTGAGGACTTTGAGATAAGGTGAAATCAAGACCGAAATATTGTCTGAGTTGACAATATCCTTTCAAATGTCCATAAATAACCGTAGAAATGGGGTTGAATTGACTCATATAAATAGAATATTTTGTTAAATAAAAGCTCTATTTTTACATTCACGTGGAACTCGTGTTGAGGATGGGTTAATGTACAATTCGTCCCTTTTCTGTCACTTCTTTTCTGATTTTTTTTATCCCATTTAATTCCTTCAGCATTATTCCGCTTCTTTCTGAGACATTTTAGGAATACAGAAGATCAGATGTTACTTAATAGGGAACAAAAATCTATCGATCTAAAAAAAATCTGACATGAAGGTTTTTTCGTTTCGGAGATGTTGCACAAAAGATCTTTTTTTTTACCAATAAGGAGTGAGTTAAAGTTCCCACAATGTTTTTCAAAGTTGTAGATAATTTCAATGTCTATCATTTGAGCTAAATTCGGAGAAAATCCGTGGAAAATTGGGCGAGATATGAGTAAATATGTGCGGCAAAGTTGGTGTAAATAAAGAAAAATAGGCTCCAAGAGGAGAGCCTGAGGGTCTAGAGAGCCAAGTGAGGCATCGTTGGAACGCTAATAACCCAAGGAATCTAAAAAGGGCAGAAATTTGTTTCCTATAGTGTTATCTAATGCAAAAGATTCACTTTCCACTGATCATTGTGTTCTATAATAGACAGATTACGATAGAGAAAGAAGCTCTATAGTTTTGAATATTATGGCTAAAGTTTGAGCATTAAAGTAATGAAAGCGAGCTACAATAGTGATGCTTGTGCAAAAGTTGACCATGGACTTCTCTCATGACAACTCAAGTGAGCTCTAATGAAAGATCTTTTGAGCTGTACAACAGGTTAGAATAATTGAGCACAGCAGTGAAAGCACAAAGGCCAGAGACAGAAGAAATAACAAACGCACCCTCCATCATTGTTTTCCTTCTGCAGCACCATCACAATGCCCTCGTCCATTGGCGAAGGGCTGCCAATGAGAATTTGCGAAACATTAGCAACTATGCCATTGAAGACCCTCCACTAATTCACATCGCCATTAATGGTACTTTGCGTGTTTTTCGAGTGTTCAATTCAATTGGAAGTCTACCAATGTGGGCGCTTTTTCACTCCACACAACCTCATGTGTGCTTCCTTCTTCCATACGCCATCGAGTGTGAACCACAAATTTCACCAGTTAATTTTCTCAGATGGCAGAAAAAAGAATGCGAGATGACTTTGAAATACTTGGAAAGTCTTTCTCTCTCGCATGACAAAAGTTACACAAGGCATCGTTGGCAAATGTGGTGGATGAAGGGATGATTTGGGAGCTGGGTGGAAAAGTGTTGTAGTTTGTCTTTCAGTCTACTTTCAAAATTTCCCCCTCCTCGTCCCTTTTTTTCCCTCTATCCCGCGCATTTCTTTTTCCCTTCTCTTTGTTCAGGCTCGCCTCAAGCCGACGCGAATTCAATTTGCACTAACGTTGTGGTGAGCAATTTAAGTTTCGAGACGACGAACATTCTCCAGATACCGGTGAAATGTACACATGATAGAAAGGTGAGAAAAAAATTAGAGGAAGACGAAGGATAATTCGAGAAAACTAAGTTTTCACGTTTCATTTCAACACGACATGACTCTTTTCTCTCCTCAAGCATTCCAGTGAGTTGCCGAGTGAGTCTCTTGAGACATGAAGTGTGCTTTTTTTCGGGTAAACAAACATGGAATTTTTAACAAGATTTCTTTCGGAAAATAAAGTCAGACACTGTAAAATAATTCATTTGGTAGGAGACAATAGTTGAAGCATTCCAGGAAACTTCCGTGAGAAAATGAGTCAATTTTAGCAGTTTTTTTACCCCAGTTTTCACTTCCACTCTGGAATTATAAATTTCACAAGCGTGTGGGAGCTGAAATTCTCCTCAAAAGTTTTAAACTTTTTTTTTTTACATATTTTGCAAATACTCTTGATACAATTTCACGCGTACGTTCAAAGGCTTTTGGGTTTTAACATGCTGCAAAATCGGCGAGATGAAGAATTGTCAATCTCCCTTCAACGGGAGACGGATGTCGCGAGGAAAGTCAATTTTCACAGTGTAATTAGACGGTGCAAAGGAGCGACAGCGAATCATTTTGGGTAATTAAGTCTAGAGAAAATTCAATAATACTTACAGGCAAAGTGAAATCCTGACTCCTCGTCGAGCAAAGAAAAGTCCACAGACACGAGAATTAACTCTGGGATAATTCACTATTCAATTGTTGCGGGATTTTTTTCTCTCTTTCTCCCTCTCAATTAGTTACTCAACCCTCCACCTCGTGAAACTTTCTCCTCGGCCGGAGAGCTTTAGAGTATATATAATATGCGACTGCACAACACACTTTAAGCGAAAGCCAGAGACAGAGTAGTATCGTGTGATTTGAGGGAAATCTACTGGAAATTGAGAAGGATTTCCAATTTTTCACTACAACTCTCTGGATTTCTCTCTAAACATTCGCCGCAGAAATCTTCCGGTGTGCAGAGCTTTCACCGCGATGTCTCTCCCAAAGGGTGGATTGACGCGCGCGGGTGAATGCCAATTGTCGACGCTTCACGTGGCTCTTTGGCTCCTTCGGTCTCGGTGACTATCTAGCCGTGATAGTTTTGGAGAAGAGAAGATGTGATTCAACAATTTGACCGGTGAGAAGTGTGAGCAGAGAATTCTTCAAAGAGGCCCAATTGCTAATCGCGGCGGCTCTTCCGGTGGTGACTCTGCCAGTCGGCCTGAGCAGAAGCTTGACGTTGTAAACACGGGATACCGGATGGGGAGTTGATTGGATTATGGCGGAACAAGAGAACTTTACTTGAAAGCGCGTCTGCACGCCCGCACAGATCGAAATCGCACAGAAGACTGAAGAGTGTTTTGGGGCGAGCACACCAAAGTGCTTTCCCTCAGCTTGGCATCTCGACGTGGTGCCTCCGAGGGGACGTCGTCGCTTGTTCGGTGACGACACACTTCACAGTTTTTGCCCTCCACTGCGGCGCCGCGGCGCGGAACAGGGACAACACCTCTGCAGCAGGAGTGCTCCTCGACAGGTGTGCTCTATCCATATGCCATGTGAGGGTGGCGACAGAGACAGACAGCCGCCGGCCGTCCCGCTCCCGCCGAATGCCCCTCGAGGAGGGAAAATGCAGTGTGTTTGCACGGAGGACAGAAAAAGGGGTTAAGTGATATGAAATGGATGAATAATGGAAGTGAGATGAATGCGAAGCAAGAATATTAATGATGAAGGGAAGATTCACAGCGCAAACCATAATTCACCGTATTTGATTTACCTTTGTCAATCTTCACATAACTTTCTAATACAATTCACCAACTCACTTGACTCGCAATCTCACGGATGAACTTTCACATGAGAAAGTATTCATGAAGTCAAGAATGTGCTCACATTTCACGCCGACATTCAGTTGAGGCAAATGAGACAGTTTGGAGAATTTTCTTTCTAAAAACAACTCACTTTTAGTTTGATGTGAAAAGGAACTAAGAATATAATTGACAATATTTCTTGTTGCTTAATTTTGGCATTGGCTTGACTCTGTTTCTGTCTCAGCGACGGAAAGCTCCGCCCATTTGAATGCTCCGCCCAGTGGTTATAAACGCCTATTTCTGCTCCACAGTTTCTTACAATTCCAATCATAACAAGACGCTGAAACTTTTTCTATGAAAAGTTAAATGGTTTTAATTTTACTTCATTGGAGATTTTGTCTTCTATTCTTTTTATTTCTTCAAACAAAAATCAATCTGGCGCACTTCTTTTGGAAAGCTCCCATGTACAGCTCAGCTGCTTCGTGTAACCATAAGTGAACTTTCTTGTCTGAATCCACTTTTGTTGGCCAATAGCAGAAAAATTCGCAAAGATGGTACGGACTTTTCGCAGTTTCCCATCTTGTCGTGTGATTTAATACAATTGTTTCCAGTTTACTCACTCAACCTGTTTATTAAATTGTTCTTGAGAACTTTCACTGGGTGGCAAAAAAGTTAACCCGCATGGCTTGGTCGGGATCAGCAAGAGTGGATGGTTTAGCGGAGTGTTTTCAATGGGCGACCGGAAAGTGGCTAGAAAAGTGACTAGTATATCGCAAAATCCACTCTATCTCAGTAATTTTCCACCACCACCCTTGTCACCTCCTTGAATGGGTGGAAAATCTGGGCCAGTGGAGGGTTAATGAGTGGACGGAAGTTGACTTGGTGAGAAGTTGAAAGTGTCTCTGGGCCTTTGGGGTGTGGGTGTGGGAATAAATGTTTACATGAGAAACAGGCAGATGCGCTGGCAGAAATGAAATTAATTTCAGCAAGAGAATAAAATTATAATTGCGTATTTAATCCCATATCCTTCAGAGACACTAGAGCATCCGCCGGAAAGCTGATGACGCGCTGACTCCCATGCGAAATCCGATCCGAAGAGCTCAAAGCCTCGCATTATATTCCACCACAGTATTATACACACATCTTCCACATTATGTGAACCATAAGATGATATTTACTTTGCCAAAACTCTTCTTGTATCTCTTTTTGTGCCACATCTCTTCCCTGGGCCTTGTTTGCATGGGCGGAATATTGGCAGGAGAGGGCGCACAGAAAAAAGGACCACAATTTTCCGAGAAGCGCCCCCTCACCCAGAGAGCTTCGGCGGGAGGATAAGGCGGCGGAAGGAGGGGGAAATGGAAGAGAGAAAAATACAATGATTATGGGAAATATCGTGCTAAAATACGACCAGCGTAGATTATTAACCCATTTCCCGTTCGGCGGCATCAATTTTTCAGCGCCCGAATGAAATTTGAGCCCAAGCTTTCCCCAAAGTTAATAATGTGAAAGTTTCATGAACTTGCGCGGCGCGCGATGGTGGGAAAAATTCTTCCAGAACTCATCACTTTTTTTTTCTCCTGCCGCTCAATATCAATTTGGGTGTGCTTTTTGCCACCGTCGAGGAGTGAGTCGCACCACATGCAAAAATGATTGATCTGCAATCGTCCGCATTTTTGTGTGCGGCGCAAAAGAATCAAGCAAATCAATCATTGTATGTCACTCAATGTGATGGGAGATGCAACCCGCACGATGCGCAATACAGGAGAGCTTTGGGGAGCTTTCTCAGGTCGCGTATAAGGTGGGAAAAGTGCACGTGAAAGGGTATGTAATGTGTCGATTTTCCGAGATTTTCCACTGCAAAATCTGCTATTTGTGTAGGTAATCCCTCTGCAAAAGGGGGAAAGAAAGGCTTCCTCCCTCTTTGAATCACAACTTCTCACTCCATTGACACACACATACATAAACAGCATCCTTTAAGAATTTTTACGAAAACTGCAAATTCCCTCTATTGAATTTCTAAAATCTCAGTTACCGCCAACAATGAAATATCTCCTCTCAAACCACTCAGATTCAGCAGAGACAGAGCGATCCCTCGAGGAGAAATTCAACGAAAGCCCGAGGGTAATTTTGCACAATTGAAAAGTTGTGTGAGTGTTTTTTTTCTTCTTCTCTCCTGTTGGTGAATATTGATTGATTCAGTTTTTGAATTATTTGCATACAAAGAGATGGTGTTTAATGTTTGATTTCCATCAAATTGAATTTATTAGCAAAACTGTTTATTTTCCCTCCACGTTCGCATTTCACCCCTTGGCAGGGGGTTGGTGCTGTGCTTTCCCTATAAATAAAATGGGTATTACAAATTAAATTATAATTTTCAGTGTCCGCCATAAAGTTACACGTATAGCATTACATTTAATGCTAAACCAGGTACTATACTCATCCCCCGGCTCGTCTGCACACTCCCTCTCTCCGCTTTTTATGTGCTCACCTCAACCACTCTGCGGATGCCACACACAGTGATCCACCGGCAGTACTCCACCCGGCGCCACCCCCGCAATTGCCTCCCTGCATGCGCCCCTGGAAAACTACCGGCGGAGGGTCTTTGAGGAGTGAAACGGGGAAAAATTTCATTATGTGGTTGAATACAGCGACTCGTTTTTCCCGAGGATTGACAAAGGTTCCGCCAAAAGCCGGTGAGTCAGTCTAGAAATTATGGGAAAAATGAAAAATGTTTAGTCACGCTTCTGCCAAGACGTAGTTTTACCACAAACCACGGATCAGTTGCAAAGTGTCTTGATTTTTGTGGTCAAGATAATACCTACAAATCCAATGTTAATTGCATGTTCTTAACACCTAATTAAAGTTAACTCGAAACAGATCAGATTTAATGAATAAGGAGGAATTGCATAAACACAAATTAGAGTGCATCAAATGTGTATCCTCTCATTTGGTTTAGAAATGCCCATTATTTGCATGCATCAAGTGCAGTGCAGCACATATTTCCACGCGATTTAGTCCACGCATTCATAGATCAACCCATCGGCCGCGCACGAGGGCCTGTGAAAACGAAAAACTCAGACAGTTTATAATTATTTTGTTGAAAAAGTTAATTTTGCATGAAAATGGCAGGACGTGTGTGTGACTGTTTCACACATTCGGAAGCTCGTGGGGGTGTGAGCAACTGCACCGGGGAGCGCCGAATGTGGATGAGACACCCTGCGTCACGAGAGGCGGGAAAAAAATGGCAGAAAAAGTTACTCATGAAAATAGATTTTCATGAAGGGAGTCGTAAATTAATGATATTTTCGAGTATAGACTCACGTGTGTGTGTGTTTTTTTTCCTGCCCCGTTGGTGGAAAAACTCCCTCGCTTCTGCAGCACCTCATTTGGCACATTAATGAAGCTCCGAGCGGAAAGTTTTTGCGCTTTTTGCATTGGCGCGTTGAAAGTCACCAAGGGGCAACTAATTTATGGCTCCTCAGCACGGGAAGTCTGGCGGTTCCCGAGATTGCAATTCTTCAAATTGCTGGCGGTATAAAATAGATGTGCGCGCGATTCATATTCATGAATATCCAGCGCTTTTGCACACTGAGTGATATCAGAATGTGATAATTAAATGCGACAGAATGTGATGATTTTTAAACGACTCTGGCAATGCATGTCATAATTGAAAATGACATGTAATTATTGCGTAAATTAATTGAAATTTATTTGTTGCTCCAATTAATGAAATCGTACATAATTGAACTTTTTAATCAAGCGCACAATATGGTTGTACTAATGAAGGGGAAAAGAACTCTTTCGCAATTTTTGCTAAAATGTTAAGAATTTCATCGAATTCTTCGCCCCTCAACTGCATGTTTTTCACATCATCCTATTATCAATAACACGAGTGAATGCGTACTGCGAGGCTACTTGAGCAGCAAAAGGACTTAATTAGTGTGTGTATTGCTAAGAAATAAATCGAAGTTAATTGTTTTTTCTACCCTCACCTTCAGCCACTGCACTCCATTCCTCGATGTGGAGTTGAAAAGCAGCCCGTGCACTCCTCTGGGGAACTCCCTCCATTTTTTCTGCAAGTCATAATACCCACTTTCGAGGATTAAAGCTCTTCCCAATGAACTTTGCGCATTGTATATGATGGGTATTATTGTAAGTAGATAGGGAGTTATGTACTGGGATTGAATGAATATGGATTTCCCATCAGCCCACCTCTCACTTTCACCCCTGAGGAACCCTCTCAATTTCCCTCCTCAGCCGGATCGAATTCCGTCCGGCTGAAATATGGGAAGAATGAGAGTGGTAGAATTCGATTTTTTAGCCCCCCTCAGACCCGTCTTTGCCGCCGTCTTTTCAAGTGCCGAACCCCCTCCGTCCAATTTGACTTTCGATTCTCACAAATATTTAAAATATTTAAATTCAAAGTGGAAATTCAACTCTTCACGCTGTCAACAAAATGACATGCTCTCCATGGAGCCCATATCCTCGTGAATTCCCATCTCACCATTCTTATCCCTCCGCCACATGCCCCGTGACTCTTCCCCTCGTCATG